TGTAAAAGTCAATGTTTTCATGATATGCATTTTAATTATTTTTAAACTTGTCTATTTTACTACAGTAAACTTGGATTTACATCTCAAATATAAACGTATTTAGTCAACTAAATGATCTAGTATATATATGAGTTGTGGTAAGCAAATGAAATGAAATATATCTATAGAATTTCACCTGCCATTTTTATTTTACTTTGGCAGTTCAAATTTGTTTTTGCCTGCCATTTCTAAAATATGGCATGCTTTTGGTCATTGGCAGCCCGCTAATTCGAGCCCTGGGTTTGAAATAGAAAGTTTAACATCAATCTTAAGGGTTTCTGAGAGAAGCTGAACAGGAGCTTCTTGTGGAGAATCTCAGAGTAACGTCAGCAAAAAATAAACACGCGAGTTTAACACCTTAACCACACATCTATTGTGTTATTGTACGTAGGAGTGAAACTATACTAGCTATATATTTGCACTGGATAGCTCTATCAATTCTGTCTAAACTGCTTTCCTTAGAGGTACAACGAGGGAGAAGAATTCTAAATACTGGAGGAAGGTTTCCTAGCTTATATATAACTTATTTATGCTAACTAGTTTCAATTCTAAACTGTTATTCCTAGAGTTCAAGTAAGTGCCATCTTTTTTTTTCCAATGTTACTATACTGGAGGAAACCGAAGATGGCAATATGATTAGGGGGACTATTTTGTTGCTCAAGAACCTCAAGAATATTGGCTGTTTATATTTGTTTTTCTTCTTAGTTTAGTGTATATCTGGGGCATGGAATGGGAAGTGTTGAGTCAGACATTTGGTTTTGATGTGGAAATAAAAATAGTTAGCGAAGTCTTTGAAGAAAATTGTATGTTCTCGATCACTCCAGGTTTGTATAAAGATTGAAAGAAGTAAGCCCCTTTCTTGTTAGTCCATGCAGTGTTGCTACCAAAAGAAGAAAAAAAAACATAGATACTGATAACTTTATCATAGACGGATTTTCATATTTATTACTGGGGTGGTGCCAGAAATTTTAGGGGGGTGAGCCGTGAGCAGGTGACTGAAGCAACACAAAGTGTCACCAAACCCCAGTAAGGTCTATATTCTAGGGGTGGAGCACTAGAGCCGCGAGTGGGAGTCTAGAGAGCAGAAAACAAAGTATCCCTGAAAAAAATTGAAAAAAATCATGATTTCTAGCTTCGAAAAAACGTTTTTTAAGTTGCAGGCTTTATGGCATCCTTGTGTAGAAAAGTAGGACTAGAATTTTAGGAAAAGTAGGAATAAAGTAGGAAAATGTGTAGAAAAGTAGGACAAAAGTAGGAGTTTTGGAGATGCAAATAACACAAAAATATACAAAATTGGCCCCTAGGATATATGTGGTAAGGGGTAGACCATTAGATATCTGATGGGGAAGTTGTGTGAATTTTTGGTGCTCAATATTTTTATGTACTCATTCATCTATGCAGGATTTTTTTCTCAAAACTTTTAAATTGCATCGGTATAAAAGCTAAGGCATTTGCTCTGCAGCAACACAATTCAAATGCATGTATTGGGCTACACAATGCACCAATCCACACTGCGGTAGAAGCATATATCAGGGCCGTAGAAAGCTCTTTTCGATTGTTGGGGGGGCGACTGAAAGCATAGATATGGCTGAAAGCGAGGGCCGAAGGCCCGAGGAAATTTTTAAATTTAGAGTCTCTGAAATGCCATTTCCTGGACTTTGGGAAAGATTTGACAGAATTCTAATGGTCAGAAAACAGCATTTTAGTATGTCAAAATTTGCAATTTAGTAGTACTAAATGGGCGAAGGCGTATTTAATTAACTATATATTGGATAAGTTGCAGGAAAGTATATGGGTAATATCTTCATTCTTTGCAGTTTGTCATGGATTAAATGATAAAGGTCTGCATGATTTTGAAAAAAATGATTATTAGCAAATTGCTACGGCCCTGTATATATGATGCTTGATTAACTGAGGGGGGAGTTCAATATTTCGAATCCCTAGATCGTCGGAAATTGCACTTTCAGAGTCTTCATTAATTTATTGATTGTGATTCTAGAGATGCTATGAAATTTTATACAAGGAAAATGTACTTCTTTTCTTCCTGAGATCTTATCATGTGAGAGTGAGACACAAATAGCGAATAAAAATTACGAGTCCTATAGATCTAATTACGAGAGCTATAACATACTGATTCCCCAAGCTGTCTTAAAAAAGTAGGATTTTATGAGAAAAAGTAGGAAAAAGTAGGAAAATCAAGCAATTTTTAATAAAAAATAGGAAAAGTAGGAAAGTTGAAGAAAAGTAGGAAAAAGTAGGAAAAGTAGGATGGCAAGAAAGCCTGAAGTTGTCATATCAATGGATTTGGCCTGTCCAATTGTCTGTCGAGACTTGAGAGAGTTAAAGTTAAATGAACCTGTAAAAGTGTAAACCCAAATAGGCCAATACACAATATCCTTTTACTTTCATAAAATCATTGACATTGTGTCGTTTGAATCCGAGTACAATTTATGATGCAACTCGGATGTAAATAATATTTGGGACGTAAAGATTAAATCTAGGCAAGACTATTTCCTAAAAGAATTAAAAACTAAAAATAATGTTCGTAAAATTTCCAAACGTTCCTTGCAAGCAAGCTATTAATTGCATGACAACTGACAAGGCACTGCAAACTCTATTCAGGGGAGATAATAGAGTTTCAAAACTTTACAATTGGTCCAATAAACCAGTGAATGCAAGCGAGGAGCAATTAGTTTCAGAGTATTGCACTGTCTTTTTCTATTTGAGTGTACTCCTACGTTTATTTTGTATCATCAACACTCTGCACGTTGGAGTGGATTATTTAATTATTTTTTATTATGCCGAATATTGGGGGGGTTGAAAATTTTTTTGGAGGGGTGGACATTTTGTTTGGGGGGGTTATAGCTAATATTGGGGGGGGTAGCACCCCCCTGCACCCCCCCACAAAATCCGTCTATGAACTTTATAAGTTTTAAGCTTTTTTCCCTATTCAGCCCTTGCAATTGACGTCACAACACATCAATCGACGTCATCGTTTGACTTCCACCATTTTGAGTAGCAAATATTTAAAAAGATACCCACGTAAAAACGCACAAGTTGTTACAGGTCTGCAAACAAGTTGTTACAACTCTGTTCACAAGCTGTCGACAAGTTGTCTTCGCACTCATGCTTGTTCCCAGTTGTTGTAACAAGTTTGGAACAAGCTGTTAACAACTTGTAACACGTTTGATGACATCATACTTGTGACAAGGTTGTTCCATTGAACTATAAATAAATTGGAAGGCTAACTGCTGTGATGAAGGCCTATGATTTGATGAAGCCAAAATAGTTTTTCTGAGTTATGAGCAGAAATATTTGACCCCAAACGTCAAGCTATATATCAAATTGAAGCTATTGAAAATTGCTATTCGGTGTGGAAATTTCAAGACTTCAGCGAAAAGAAAAATATTTAAAAAATACAAAAACAACTGCAAA